TGGAGCTGTGGCTGTGGAACCTGCCTGGCCACTGGTGCGGCTCCAGCAGGTGAAAGCACCAGTGCTGATGGGATAAACGCTCTCAACATGGTTTGGATGAAGCTGCAGTAAAAGCAGCCCTTACACTTTGGCATCCTCTTCTTCTACCCCAATGAAATTGGGAAAAAGGCGAATCCAAGCCAAGAGGCTGGCCAGCACGGGCAGGGGCCAAAGGAGGTCCAGCACCATCTGCATCCTTATGGGTGCACGGGGGAGAGAGCTGCATCCCCGACTGCCAATGGGCCCTGTGGGGTGTCCATCCCCCCGGGGCACCTTTTGGAGGGGAAGCAGCAGCAGAAGTGGAGATGCCTGGGGGAAATGATTCCCCTACCACAGAGCCTCAGTGTCAAAGAGATGATGGAAAAGCAGCGGCACTACGTGAAAGGCACGACACATCAAACTAGAGCTCAAACAGGCAGAAATATCCTCCAAGCACAGTCATGCCTACAGAAGGACCAGCTCCCAGGGCTTTTTCCTCCTGAGTGACACAAGCAGAGGCAAGGAGGGAGGAACGGGGACTGCTCTGAAGGGAATCAAGGCTCAGCTGAGCTGCTTCACATTTATCCTTTCTCCAGGCACAGTTTTTATGAAGATCTTAAACCCACTATGTATTAAGCAATCCCAGTCTGGATTCCATTTCTCAATCTCAGTTATTTCCCTGAAAGGAGACCTGGAATCACTAATCACATCTCGGAAACCTAGGATGGAAACAGGGGCCTGGGAAGAGATCTCTGCTCCAGGAGGGACCACGTCAGCCCAAGCTCTGGTACCATGCTGCCTGTCCTGGCGAGGCAGGAACCACCTCCCTGCCCGCGCGGGGTTCCCATCCCTTCCCAAACTCACCTTCAGAAACTTGTACAGCAGAAATGTGAACCAATTCGTCAGCATCTTCTCTGCCACCGACTCTGTTCTGTAAGGAAGGCAGAGAGCAAAGCTGTCAGGAGAGGATATAAAGGTCTTCGATCTCACCCACTGCCACCTCAGCCTTGGACTGTGGCTACACTATTTTGGGCTTTAAAAGGTCACATCTGGAAAGGCAGGAGCCTTGAAGCAAAGGGCACAAGCAGACAGCAAAAGCTCTAGAGAAAAGCCTGCCTGTCCGCAGGCTGAGCCGCAGCAGCCCCCAGGAGGGAGAACCAAATTGGTCTCCAGCGTATCTGGAGAACCAGAGAGAACTGAGCACAACCTCGTCCCGTGGGGACTCTCACCCAGGGGATGACCAGCTTTCTGCTTCTCCCTGGCACCTTCTACTTCAGTGAAGTTTGTTTCTTCCATTGCGTCCCCTTGGAACCAGGCAGCTCCCTCCACAGGAGGGTTGTATGAGTCACCTCGGCCAGTAAAATGTCACCAAACCTCCCTCAACCTCCCCAGTTAAAGCACAACCTGAAGAGAAGAGCTGAGGTTGCAAGGCAAGGTCAGATCCCAACCCACGTTCCCAGGACAGGAGCACCTCCTCTCGCATCACCGTGTGCCTGATCTAGCTCGAAGCCCCTCTCCCCACCCAGGAGCTGCTGCTGACTCCTGCTCCTGCAGAACACTCAATTCTGCATTGCCCTGACCCAGGCCCACCACTCCTGTGTGACGTGGGACCTCCCAGCAACCCCCAAAGTAGACCTTGATCTCTCCAGCCTCAAAGCCCAGGACCTGCAGTAGAGCAAAAAGGACGATCACCACCACTACTGGAGGCATAAGGAGGGTTTTCCCCAGCAGCCTGACCGCTGGAGGAGAGGGCACCTGGTTCTCAGCACCCAGCGATGGGGACAATGAAGCTTTAGGAGGCCACGCTCTGCACCCTCACTTCTCTTCGTGCATCTCCGCGGTCTCTGCGTATCTCCTTGGAGTGAGGTGGTGATGCAGGAGTCCACAGTGACCGATGCTGCAACCACTTGCTCCAAAAGGAACTTAAAAATGGAGCTGTGCCTCTCAGCTTTTGGAGATGGAGTTGAAGGAAGCATCCAAAACTGCCCTGAGAAAACCCACATATTGTCCCTTGTTCCCTAAAGCACAGTTCAAATCCGGATGGCATCATGCTCCAGAGAGGCATGGCACTGGAGGTCCCTGGGAGTCACCTGGGTCTGTCTGGGACTGTCACCTCATCATGTGTGCGAGAGGGAGAGCAGGGTCAGGCAGCACCAGTGTGAGACGTGGTGGGTCCAAACAGGACGTGGGGACCCTGGGGTGGTGGCACTGCAGCTGAGATATGCTGCACCAGAGGAGGGGGGGGACAGCCTGGCATGGGGGGAGCTGAGGGTGACATGTTATTTTCAAAGTGGCTTTCATTCCCTTTAAAGTAAAAATGCCAGACAGCCCCCCCAAACCTCTCCAGTTTTGCTTCTTCAGCTTATCCACCCATTAATCATGAGCTCAGACACAGATGGTCCTGAAAGCACACTAACTCCTGAAAGCAACACTAATAACTCACAAACATCGCTGCATCCCTCTTGCACCAGGGGAACAGACACAAACGGGCTGACTCCAGAGACAAAACCCAGAAGGAACTCGAACCTCAGAGCCACCAGTGCCAGGCACAGCCCAACAGCAATGTCACGCTCGGCAGATGGGGCAGGAGCAGCTCCCAACGGCCAGATGGCTGGGGTAGGAAATCCACTTTCCCAGAGTTTATTCAAGCTGCCTCAGGGTCGTATGGTCCCATCCAAGGCTTTCTCTTGTGCTAATGGGGCTTAGCCCTTTTTGCCCTCCTTTGAATAGCACAGCTCTCCCTACACCAGTAGGGGTAACACCTGAGCCTCCCGAGGCAGGAAACCTTCCTGTGCCCCGCCAGGTAAGCTTAATCCATCACAGGGAAGAAAAAAAGAAGGAAAGAGATGTGGGGGAAATGTCAAGGAAAGGGTGGAGCGAAGCTATTCAGCAGAGATACCCCCCCTACACCCAGACCAGCTCCTTCAGAGACCAGCTTGTAACACGCATCTGAAGTGCCACCAGCCAGGCTCCGACGGATGTTCGTCTTTATCCGCGACAGAGCCAGATGCCACAGCAACGAGGGGATTATCCAATAACAAAATAAATAAATAACACCTCTCCCCAGTTAGATCAATGTTAATCCAGTTGCCCTGGGTGGTAAGCACGCTCTCACGCCCAACAGCAGGGCTAATCAAAAGGACGGAGGAAGCACAGCCCTCAGCATCGCTCACCCCACGCCGCAGCTGCAGGAAGAACAAAAATCTCTTTAAATATCACCCAGGGAGCCACGAGCAAGGTACCGGCCAGGGGACCTTGTCCCTGTCCTAAGCCTCCCGCAGCTCCAGCTGCAATGAGTCCCCCGACTCCGCGGCTGGGGACCGATGGTCCTCGGGCTGCTGGCTCTCGCTGCGCAGGCTGGGCTCTGACTCCGCGCCGCTCCCACAGCTCAGCCACCGCAGCCGCTGCCCTCCCTGCACTGCCTTTTATTTATGTTTTATTGATTTACTTCATTCTGGAGTTTTGCTCTGACAGCAGCGGCTTTGTAATGCTCCAAGAGACCCAGGAGCTGGAAATGTAGTTTAAATATTTCAGTGAAGCCTGGTGTCGTGGAGGGACAGTGAGAAGGGAAGAGCCCAGGGATGCGCTTGGGGAATGGGGAGAGGGGTCAGCACCTCCATGAGCCACCCCTCTCCCCACCACCCACGGGTCTGCACCGCACCCCCTCTCTGGCACATTACTAATGAGGTGCTCTGAGAAATTAAGGGCATGTTTGTAAAGTGATAAATGAAGCAGAGAGAGTAAGAAAGCAACGTGCCTAAAGGCAGCCGGGATGGGACTGGGAGCAGCTCACAGCACCTGCTCCAGGCATCTCCCCAGCGCCGGGCACACAAAACCCAACAGGCTCTGGCCAGTCTGGCCATGCCATGAACATCGGTTCATGTCTGAAAGACGCCCTGGTTTCCTAAAGCCTTTCTGGTGACATGCCAGCCCTGCAGCCCTCAGCCGTCCCTGCGTCCCCACTGGAGGCTGGTGGCACCAGGCTGGCAGAGGCAGAGACGGGGAGGCACGGCACGGTGTGCGAAGGGAGAAGAGAGCACAGAGGGCCTCGAGCTGGGCTGGTGGAGCTTATTAATTGTTTTTGTTCGGCACTTGGTGTATCTTTCAATATTCATCAGCCTGTGATGAAGGAGAGCTTAGAGCTATCGTTAAATATTGATGGGCCAGGCAGACTCACGGCAGGGCTTGGCAGGCTGCCTCCTGCTCGCGCTCTCCCCAGGCCCCAGCGAGGCTTCCAGCTTGCAAAGATTTGCTTGGCTTTCCCAGGAAAACCCCAGTGAGGCGGGCAAGCCCTGAGGAGGCAGTGGGGAAAGGAGGACTCATGCCTGCTGCAGCCAGGCAGCCACCAAACAAGGTGAGAGCTGCCCCATGTGCCGAAGGGTGTGGGGGACCGCCTGGTCACCTGGAGAAGGGAAGGCAGGTGGGAGCATCGCTGCAGCGACACAAAACAGTGCCTGATACTAGTGTGCATCCCCCCTGCACCAGCCTACACAGCTGGCAGCCGCCAAACATCTTGCTCCTTCCTTCCCAGACAGCATGAACCCGCACGGGCCAAACCAGAGCCAGAACATCCCACGGGTGACTCCTGAGCTGGCTGGGTCTGCGGAGTCCCACATCCCTCTCATACGTGCATGGAGACAGGCAAGGAAATGCTTGACCACAGACCCAGTGCTGGCATTGCCACAGCCAACACCAAAGCCATCACCGATGGCATCCCTAAAGAACATAATCATCGAATCATGAAGGTTGGACAAGCCCTCAAGGATCATCAAGTCCAACCGTCAACCCAACCCCACCCAGCCCACTAACCCATGTCCCCAAGCACCACATCCACACGTGTCTTGAACCCCTCCAGGGATGGTGACTCCACCACTGCCCTGGGCAGCCTGTTCCAATGCCTCATCACTCTTGCAGTGAAGAAATTTTTTCTAATATCCAGCCTAAACCTCCCCTATCTAGCCCCTTCAGCTTGTGTCCACATTCTCAGAAGAGCCTGGGCACTGTCCCGCAGCTCTGACCTCTTGGACGGACGCTCACCTCCGCAAGAGCAGCTTGGGGTGGTTCTTACTCTCCAGGTTCTTCTCGATGAGGTCGGAGAGGAGCTGCTTCAGGACGCCCGTGGCATACTCCATCTCGCCCTGCAGCGCCGTCATGATGAGCGAGGCCACATTGCCACGGTCTCGCATGGAGAAGCTCCGCTGAGCCTCCAGAGTGCGGATGAAGGTCAGCAAGAAGTGCTTCTTGTTCAGGAGCTGCCCAAAGAGGGTCAAGGACTTCTCCACGTTGGCCTGGACCTGCAAGGATAGAGCAAAGCTGGGAGATGGGCACGAGGGGGAAAGCGATGAGAAGGTGGCTGGGCTGCACAAGACCCTGGATTCAACCTCATTCACCAGGAGGAAAAGTATGAAAAAGGGTCAAAAAGCAAAGGGATTTGCTCTCTCCATACTACAGAGCCTTCTCTTTGGTGATCAGCCTCAGTTCCCTCTGGAAGTATTATCTGGTTTGTCGTATCTCAGCATCAGGTTAACACAGTCTCAGGGCACTGATGTATATATAGATATAGAAATATATAGATACATATGTATACACACACTTCCATACAAAGCCTCTCTCCCACGCATGTGCAGGCTCATACACGCACTTCCTTCTCATAAATAAACTCTCTTTCTCTCCCAAACACACACACAAATTATAATTTTCAATTTCAGCTAACAAGCAGCTCAATTCCCACCCAAGATGCTGCAACACAGGCTTCAGGTATCGCCCAGAAAGCAAATCAAGCCCCAGCCCTGAGCTCCGCTGGCAGCAAACCCGCCTGGTTTGGGACGGCTGCATTTCAGATGGGGAAGCAAGTAACAGAAGCAGGGTCTGCCCCACTGCAGCCTGAAATATTCCCTTTCCTCTTGAGACGTTTGAAGATCTATTTCTGGCCACACTTTGCCGGGTAGGACGCAGCAGGGACTGGGCTGGGATGTTTTCATCCCCACGCTGCCGTCATTAGCACAGCTCTGGTCAGCCCTGACCACATTTCTTATCAGAAATGAACATTTTTACAACGCAATGTTTTCCCATTAGAAAAGATGGTTTCCTCTGAATAAAAGCCTTGCTGTGGTAAAACGTCAATTTTAATGATTTATTTTTTTTTTCTCCCTTGTCTTCCTGATGGGGAGAATAAGTGAAAAATTTCATTTCACGTCGATATTTGGAGACAAAACAACACTTTTCATTTCAAAACACCAACTCAAAATGAAGAACAGGGTTTTGACACATCAAATCATTTCACTTCAATCAAAACTTTGGATTCAGTGAAATTCCTCATGGCTATGACTTCCCCCCCCCCCCCAGTTTGCCACCAGATGAAAACCCCATTCCCCACCCAGTCCTTGTCACTTCTGCCATACAAGCCCCAGGTGCCACATGTCCCCTCACTGTCACCTTCATCACCCAGGCGAGGAGGGACCAGAGCATCCCAGAAGGGTGATGGAGGAGTGACAAACCCTCCCTGCCCTTGCAGGCACCATGCATGTGGCTCAATTTCCCGCAAGGCAGGTCAGAGGACAGCATCCTGCTAGGAACAGAAATGCTTTAAATCATGTTTTCCCGGAGTCCCTCCCTCCGGACTACACAGGGACCTCGATGCAGCGATTCTGGTAACTCAGGCTGAGGTTCAGCAACTGCTCCCTGCGGGGATGCAGAGATGCCAGTTGCATCCTCAGCACGGGAAGGCTCCAGAGCCAGCCAGAGCACAGCAGCTGCACTGGAGACCTACCAGACCCACCAGGAAAACTGGGGCAGAGGCAGAGGTGCTGCATCCCCACCCCTGCGCGTTGCTGCTGCTTTTGCAGCGAAGACCAGGCAAAGGAGATCATGGGGCAAGGGGCTTTCTCCCTTCAGCAGCGCAGCAGGAGCTTGATAAACTGGGAAACGGATCCTGCCTGACAGCAACCATCCCCTCGGAGCCCTGGCAGGGAGCACAGGAGGACACGGAACAGCCGCCACACATGGCACGGCAACGCCTGAACCCCCCACGTGCCCAACACCTCCCCGAGCTTCCGTGTTTAACTTGCTGATCATTAGCAGAAATAAATGAACAATACCAAATTAAATATTTAATCAGGCTCAAATTTGCACAAAGCAACAAACCTCCTCCCCCCCCAAACCTCCAGGTACCGACAGCCCGGCGCTCGCTGCCAATGAGCGTGTGCGTGAGCAAGCGCCGCTTCCCTCCCGTCGCTCGCAATAGCTAATGTTACACTCTGAGTAAAGAGACAAATAAAAGCAAACCTGATTAAATTATATGAAGCTTACACAACTGTAGTTGTGTTATTTAATCTCTTTCAGGGATTTCTTCTCTTTTTCTGCTCCTTTGCAACTTTAACCCCTTGTTTCCCAGGCCAGGCTGAGCTGGCACGCTCTCTCGAGTGGGATGTTTTGAATTAGGAGCTGGAAGCAGATGAACGCACCCGGCCTGCCACAGACAATGCAAAATTCCTGCTTTGATACGCATTTTGATACCCTTTCCACCGCTCTCTCTTTAGGGAAAATCCTTCAGAGCAAGAGCAGAGGTGAGGAGAGCCAGGCGCTTGCACAAGCAGGAAGGGCTGTGCCCCAGGGAGGGCTCCGCTCGGTCCTGGTGTGGCTCTGAGCATCTGGAAACCCGAGCTGCAATGGGAAAATCCATGGAAACGGGGCCCCAGCCGCCCTCTGGAGCTGGGATCAGGGACCAGGGACAGACAGCAGGCAGAGGGCCAGAGCCCCGTGCCGTAGCCATGCCTGCGTACAACACCAGCGCGTGTGCTTGGAGTTGGTGAGAGCTTGTCGTGTTGTGATGAGTGACCGTGCATGTCACACCGGGGCTGATTCCTTCTCCTAAATCCATTGTGAAGCCCACGTCGACATTAATTACTGTGCCAGGTCAGCAGCGAGGGGAAGCTAAGGTCACCCCCCCACTTCTCTAATCAAGAGCGGTCTCAGCAGCCCAGCAAACGAGCAGCCAATTGCTGTGCAATTGCACACACTGAATTAAACAGACGTGGGGAGGCCGGCAGAAGAGAGGGAGCTGGTTTGGGGAGCAGGGGAAGGATGCCAAGGATGGGTTCTGCACGGGGAAACGGAGCCAAGCAAGCAGGCGATGTCGGACAAGCCTGCTAGAAACGAGCAGTCGGTCAGGCATCAAACAAACACAATTGAATAAAGCAAGTGCTGGAGAAAATGACAGCAGCAATGATATTAATATAAATATTGATACTAATGTCAGAGAGTGTAGGAACCACTTGGCAGCCGGTCTGCATTTGCGTCGGCTGCCACGTGGCGGGGGGCTCTTTGCCAACCCAGGGTGCCCTTTTGCGCCGCCTGCCACGTGGCGAGGTGCTCTTTGCCACACCAGGCTGAGCCAGCATCCCATCAAAGCATCTCTCCAGCCCTACGCTTGGGGCACGGGGCACGTCCCCAGCATGAAACACTACAGACACAGACAGACATACAGACAGTACCACACCTCCATCTCCTTCAGCACAGGGTGGTCCTCTATCCCCGGGAACAGAACCCGCATGGCGTAGGTGCGGTAATCCAGAAAGGGGATGCCAGCCCCGTCCAGGTCGTTGGTCAGCTCATTGATGTCAGTCTGCAGCTCAGCGAAGGCTGGGGTGGGAAAAGCAGAATTAAGCGACACATCCTGGAGTCCCAGCACACAGCATCAGCACCCAACCTCTGACGTGCTCCCCAGCACCCCATGGGTGGGACCCCCAGGCACGAATTGGCTCTGCGTCCCTCCCCGCAGCAGGGTGTTATCGCTGTCCCCATCTCACAGATGGAGAAACTGAGCTGCGGAGGTGGGGATGACTTCCCCAGAACAAACCAAGAAGCAGACCGGGGAACAGGACTGCCGGGTCCCAGGGGGGTCAAATCCCCTGGGCTCAGCACTCGCAGCCTCCCAAGGATGCTGGGGGTAGCGGGGAACAGCAAGTCTCAAAAAAAGCCAGAGCTTCTGGGGGAAAATGTTAGCCTAAACCACAAGAATGTCCTCATTTATTTTTGACCTAAATACTACTCGAGAGAAGAGCTTGAACACACCCACCCCGGCACCTCCCGATCCGAGCAGAGGCAGCCCCGACTCCCAGGGGAACGTGATGTGGGGGGGTCCTGAACCTTTAATTGCACCTACAGGGAAAAGCTGACAGGAGAGGAGTCCTGGAGATGCACCAGGGAAAGGGGTTGGGGGGGAGAAAACCCTCAGAAAAATCAAATTAACGGCACTTTAAAGGGAGCTGCAAGCCAGGCAGAGGACTGCAGGCTCGTCAGCCTGATGAGAAAAAACAAACCGTCAGCTTGAAAGGCGTGCTATCTTATCTGTAACTAGTGGGACTAGAAAAGAGAAAAGGCAGGGAAGAGATTGTGCCTTTTAATTAAAAGCAGATCCTTTTATCTGCCAGCTGTGGAAGACAAGACACCATCCCCTCCACCAGCTCCCTCCCCTCTCCCTGTCACCAGTACTATCCGCAGGCATGTGCAAGGATGGGGATTTGGGGCAGAAAAGGTTTTTTTTTTTATTTCTTTCTTTCCCCTTTTTATTATCTTGTTTTCGGTGCCTGCTCCATCCGCAGAGCCCGGGCTGGCTGCGGCTGTGGCTGGCAGGGTCAGGGCCTTGGGAGCCAGCTCAGGGGGATAATGGGCAATTAGGTTTTATCAGCAGGATCATACAAGGAATTCACAGCATCTGTCTGTCACATAATGAGGGACCGACTGCCCACTCGCAGGCAGCCCTTGCTACCTTCCTCACACTCTGTTCTCACACTTGGAGAAATGGAGGGGAATTCCTTAACTGGAAAAAATCCCCAGATCCCACCCAAAATGAGCTCGCTTCCTCTGACAAAGCAGCTTTGCCCATTCCCATTCCCCCTCTGGAAGGCTGTGGGAAAAGGGTGGGAGCACACCGAGCCTCGGGATGGTACGAGACCCTCCCAGACCCCCACAGCAGCAGCACAAGGATCCCTCACCCTCTTTGCACTCCAAGGCCACCCGCGACTCCAGGTTGTCCATCTGCAGCTGGAGGCGTTTCAGGGTCCGGTCGGCATCCCGGGACTTGCGCTTGTAGGCGATGAGGACGATGATGATGATGAGGAGGAGCAGCCCACCCCCGCCGCCGATCCCGATGATGGCGGGCAGGGTGAGCAGGCTGTCCGAGTAGATCTGCAGCGTCCCAGGGGAGAACTCGAACCCTCCAGCCTTAATCTGCGCCATGGTGGGGAAAAAAGGGACCTGGCGTCAGGGGGGTACGTGCCCAGGGCAGCCCCCCTGTGCTGGGAACCAGGGGATGACTCAGGGGAGGAAGGATGTGGAAAAACACAGGGATAGCAGGAGCTGGTCCGAGCAGCACGGCGCATGTTAACGGGATGTAAAACACGCTGCCAGCGCGCGCGGAGCAGGCAGAGAGTTTGATGTCTCATTCAGACAACATTACAGTAACAGATGGATGTGAAGCGAGTTCCCCCACGGGTGGGGAGCCTGGGAGGGACCGTGCCGGGTCCCTTTCAACCTGGCAGGGTCCTGGAACGCAAGCACCACTGCGCTACAACCCCACAGACAAAGGAGCCTTCCTTACGGCGTGAGCCAGCAGCAGGGGGAAGGGGTGGGAAAGCCTCCCATGTCTTGGCACCGGCTGTGCCTTGGCACCCAGCAGGGAAGGGAGGCTGCTGGCAGGGCCAGCCAAGGCCA